TGGCTAATTGACTTTCCAGCAGGAATTAGTGGCTCAAACCAAATCAGCAGCAGCAGGGAGCTCCTGCCGGGCTCGGGATGGGCCATGGAGCCATGCACGAGCTGCTCATCCTCCTCATCCAGTGAGTGCCCCACAGCCACATGGCTCTGGGACTTCGGGGGGCTGGAGCACCTCCAGAGTTCCTAGGGGGTGCTTTTGGGGTGCTGGGACATTTTCTCTCCATGTGTTTGTCCAGGTGGATTTGGTTCTTCCCTTTCCAGCCCACCCTGGACTGGGATTTTGTGGAATTGGTGGTTTTAGGATGCCTGGATTTATTTCAGGGTTATCCTGGCCTTCCATCCAGCTGGAGCTGCTGAAGCACCTCCAGAGATCCCAGGGGATGCTTTTGGTTGCTGGGATCTTTTCATGTGTTTGTCCATGTGGATTTGGCTCTTCCCTCTTCCTGGACTGGGACTCTGTGGAGTTGGTGTTTTCAGGATGCCTGGATTTATTTTAGGGTTATCCTGGCATTCCATCCAGCTGGAGCTGCTGGTTTATTTGAGGTGCTGGAGCACCTCCAGAATTCCCAGGGGGTGCTGGAGCCTTTTCTCTGTGTGTGTTTGTCCAGGTGGATTTGGCTCTTCCCTTTCCAGCCCAACCTGGCCTGGGATTTTGTGGAATTGGTGTTTTTAGGATGCCTGGATTTATTTCAGGGTTACCCTGGCCTTCCATCCAGCTGGAGCTGTTGGAGCACCTCCAGAATTCCCATGAGGAGTTTTGGGAATGCTGGGACCTTCTCTCTCCATGTGTGAATTTGGCTCTTCCCTTTTCCAGCATGCACTGGGATCAGGACTCTGTGGAGTCGGTGTTTTTAGGGTGCCTGGATTTATTTCAGGGTTATCCTAGCCTTCCATCCAGCTGGAGCACCTCCAGAGTTCCCAGGAGCTGCTTTTGAGGGTTTTTGCACCTTTTCTCTCCATGTTTGGCAGGGTGGATTTGGCTCTTCCCTTTTCCAGCATGCACTGGGATCAGGACTCTGGAGTTGGTGTTTTCAGGATGCCTGGATTTATTTTAGGGTTACCCTGGCCTTCCATCCAGCTGGAGCTGCTGGTTTATTTGAAGTGCTGGAGCACCTCCAGAGTTCCCAGCGGGTGGTTTTGGGGGGTTTTGCACCTTTTCTCTCCATGCTTTTGGGATCTTTTTCTCTGTGTGTTTGGCAGGGTGGATTTGGCTCTTCCCTTTTCCAGCATGCACTGGGATCAGGACTTTATGGAGTTGGTGTTCTCAGGATGCCTGGATTTGTTTCAGGGTCATTCTGGCTTTCCATCCAGCTGGAGCTGCTGGGGCACCTTCAGAATTCCCAGGGGTGCATTTGAGGGTTTTTGCACCTTTTCTCTCCATGTTTGGCAGGGTGGATTTGGCTCTTCCCTTTTCCAGCATGCACTGGGATCAGGACTCTGTGGAGTTGGTGTTTTTAGGATGCGTGGATTTATTTCAGGGTCATCCTGGCTTTCCATCCAGCTGGAGCTGCTGGAGCACCTCCAGAATTCCAAGGAGGTGCTTTTGGGGGGTTTTGCACCTTTTCTCTCCATGTTTGTCCACATGGATTTGGCTCTTCCCTTTCCAGCCCTCCCTGGACTGGGACTTTGTGTAATTGGTGTGGTCAGGATGCCTGGATTTATTTCAGGGTTATCCTGACCTTCCATCCAGCTGGAGCTGCTGCTTTCCAGCCTTTGGAGACCGTTCCAGCGTGGTGATTCCCAAGTGGAATAGGGCTTAACCAGATTAAGCCTTTTAATGAGTCTTAATCCAGCAAAGCTGAGCTTTCCATTTCTCTGGGGGTAAAATCCACATCCTGCTGGAGTCGGGGCAGCTGGGCTGGCAAGCAGCTTTCCAGGGGATGATTCCCCTCCTCCTGCTCCTGCAGGGATGGCAGGGCTGTGTCACCTGGAGCTCAGGAAGGAAGGGTGACACCTTTCACCAGGGGCTCTGGGATGTGCCCAAAATGAGGAGTCAAATCAGCTCTGAAGGTGCTGGATCTCATCCCAGCAGAGCCCCAGAGGAGTTGACATCCTGCTCTTCAGCAGGGGAGGGAACGTGGCTGGGAGGGGAAATTGCTTTTCCCATTTTGTGTGAGAGATCCCAGGATGTGAAACCCCCCCCACCCCGAGGTTCCCCTAATGAGGAAACCCCTCAACAGTTTTGTGTTAAAATTAAGAAACAAACCGAACTTTTGTTCTTTAGTTTTAGTTTAAAAACTTTAGTTTTTTCAGTCTTCAGGTTGTTGGTTTTTTTTTTTCTCTTATCAATTCAATGCACCATCTATATACCAAAAAAAAGCACCAAAAAACACACAAGTTGAAAGTCTTTTAAAGCTATTTTGTTTAATTAACTCTTAAACCTTAAGTAATTAATTATTTTTCTGTCCATGAACCATCTGGATTGTGGCTCTTTCTAAGCAATCCCTCAACACTGCAGGAAATGGAGCAGATGAAGAACAAGGAAGAGATCCAACAGCACCCAAATTCTTCCATCTTGTCCCCTATCCACCTCCATACTAAAACCCCAAAACTCTTTAAGTTTTTCACCCTGTGATAAACTGTGTTACACTCTGTTTCACACACCGTGGATCCCAGTTCATCCCAAAGTTCTAGAAGCTTCCTCCATGAAGGAAGATTAAAAGCAGTGTTCTCCCAGAGATCAGAACTTACCAGAACCAACAAAAATATTCCCCACACCCTGAGATCCAGCAGCAGGAAATGGTGACAGAACCACAGATGCCCTCCCCTCCTTTCTCACCACCTCGGCCTGAACCAGCAGCTGCTTTTCTGTGTGTTTCTGGCTCAAAATCCTAAAAATTCTGGAGCCTTTCCTTGGGAATTGTCTTGGTTTGAAAAGACAGGAGTCTGTGAAGGAAGGCAAGAGCCTCCTGTGAAATGGAAAAGGTAAACCCCCTGCCTCTGAATTACCACAATTTCAAAATTAAAAGCTTCTTAGGCAAAGATATGGGAATGGGAATAACAGTTCTTTACTAGGAGAAAAACTAAATAAGAATAATTAAAAAAAAATATGTAATTAGCACAAAGAAAACTAGTGATGGAGTCAGAAAGCTGACACCCCGAGGAGTCAGGGTGTTGGTAACAGTCCAGTTAAATGGTGGCTGCTCCTCCTGCAGTGGCAGATGAAATGCTGCTGAAGGGTGAAATCTGTACAAGGGTGGAGTTTTCTCTGAAGGTCTGGTGATAGAGTAGATGGGCTTGGTTTTTCTCTGAAAATCCATTGGAGAAGAAGTTCCTCCTCTGGGAATTCAGCAGAGAAGAAGCTGCTCCTCTGGGAATCCATCGGAGAAGAAAGCTGCTCCTCTGGGAATCCATCAGAGAAGAAGCTGCTCCTCTGGGAACCCATCAGAGAAGAAAGCTGCTCCTCTGGGAATCCATCAGAGAAGAAAGCTGCTCCTCTGGGAATCCAGTGGAGAAGAAGTTCCTCCTCTGGGAATCCGTTGGAAAAGAAAGCTGCTCCTCTGGGAATCCATTGCAAATGGAGTTCTTCCTCTGGAAATCCATTGGAGAAGAAGTTCCTCCTCTGGAAATCCAGCAGAGAAGAAGCTGCTCCTCTGGGAATCCATTGGAGAAGTTACTCCTCTGGGAATCCATTGGAGAAGTTACTCCTCTGGGAATCCATTGGAGAAGAAGCTTCTCCTCTGGGAATCCAGCAAAGAGGCTGCTGATGTCCCAAAAAAAGTTGATTTTTTGCAGGTAGGGCTGCTTGGCTCCTCCCTCTGGGCGGAGCATCTCACAATGGGATGATGGAACTGTGCCCCTCAGCTCAGGAAGGAC